TTTTGATCTAGAAAATGCATCCGAGACCACTTGGAGGTATGGGATAATGAAAGACATACATGACATGGAATTGAAAGGCAAACTACCAAACTTCATAAAATCTTTTCTTTCAGACAGGAAATTCCAAGTCCGAATTGGTTCTACCCTGTCGGACATTCAAAATCAAGAAGAGAGTGTCCCTCAGGAGAGTATACGGTTGGTAAACCTCTTCAACATCAAAATTAATAGCATTACCAATTGCCTGAATCCTGGAGTTGATAACTATTTGTATGTTGATGACTTCTGTATCATCTCCACATCCAGATACATGTGTACAGCAGAGCATCAAATACAACAGGGCATCAACAAAATAAACAAATGAGCTATCATAAACGGCTTCAAGATCTCTAAAACAAAAACACAATGCGTGAATTTTTGTCAATTAAGGAAAATGCATAACAACCCAACACTGAAACTAAGCGGAACAGAAATTCTGGGAGTTGACCAGTATAAATTCCTGAGTTATTTTTGACAAAAAACTAACTTTCATTCCACATCTACAATATCTGAAAGAGAAATGCAACAAAACCCTAAAACTACTTCGTGTAATAGCCCACAAAGATTGGGGTGCAGATCAGCAAACCCTATTAAAACTATATAGAACATTAATCCAATCAAAACTTGATTATGGCTGCTACATATATGGGGCAACCAGAAAATCCTACCTGAAAACACTAAATACAGTCCACCATGAAGGATTAAGACTTGTTTTAGGGGCATTTCGCACATCCCCAGTGGAGAGCCTTTATTCTGAATCCTACGAACCACCACTAAAACTTAAATTCTAAAAATTAGGTCTAGTAAAATTAAATCACAACCAACCAATCCAGCCAATAACTGTATTTTCAACCCCAAACACCAAAAACTAAAGGCCATAAAACCTTTTGGTCACCGTATGAAACCCATAGTGGAAGACCTAGATATTCCAATTACAAACATCCATGATACCGTTCAACTAAGCTTACCACCCTGGCTACTTAAGCAGCCTGTGATTATTCTTGATTTAAACAAGCTCCCTAAAAATAAAACACACCCATTAACCTACCAAGAAAAACTCTTCAATATTCAGAGAAAATACCCAAACTACTCACGCATTTACACAGATGGCTCCAAAGACAGCAACAGAACCGGATGTGGAGCAGTTTTCAATAAGGAAATGATGAAAAAATGCCTCTCAAAGGAAGCCTCCATATTTACTGCAGAAATCTATGCAATAAAATTAGCACTTAAGATTGCTTGTGCAAGCAACTTAAAAAACTTCATCATCCATACCGACTCCATTTCTGTCCTACAATCTATAAAAAATACAAAACTGGATAACCCTTTAATTGTCAAACTTTTAAACTCCATAAGACATAAAAAAGGTGATATTTTACTGGATCCCAAGTCATATTGGAATTCAGGGAAATGAGAAAGCCGATTCCTTAGCAAAAGCTGCACTTAACATGACATCCAACCAGAACTCCAAAATCCCATATACTGAGCTAAAACATAAAATCAAGAAAATAATGATGCAAAAATGGCAACAACTATGAGACAAAAATACCCACAATAAGCTCTAACAAATAGAACCCACTTTAAAAGAAAGGAAACTTAATCTTAATAATACAAAAAGAGAAGAAACCACCCTTCCTCGGCTATGCATTGGACACACTAGACTGATTCACTCCTTAATACTAGAAGGGGAGCCTCCTCCTAAATGTCCCTGTGGAAACCAATACACAGTAAAACATATACTGATAGAATGCACAAACCTTACACACATTCGAAGAAAGTTCTACAGCATTAAGAGTACAAAGGAACTATTTACAAAAATTGATCCAAGTCATATAATAAATTTCCTGAAAAGAATTGGTCTTTTATCAAGGATATAGTCTGATGTGTAATTAATATATGCTACCTTTTAACATTATGCAAACAAACTGTTTATACTTACCCTAGACAATAATACCTGGAATTATTTTGCAGTGTGCAAGCAAATAAGCTCTAGCTTATAGACGTTTACAAGTCTATATATATATATATATATATATATATATATATATATATATATATATATATATATATATATTTTGAACAATAAAAAAATATTAAAAATTAAAATCTTCAGACACACTGGGTTGTAGATTAATATTCTTTCGTTTTTTTTATTATTATTTCATTTGGATTCCTCGACTAGTTTCAGCCAAAATGGCCATCATTGGAAGGAGGAATATTTCTGCTTGCTGGTAGCAGTAAACTACAGAAATGAATGTCTTGCTGGAGAAAAATGAACTTTTGTCTGTAGTTTTCATTTGTTTTTTTATTTTTTTATCTTTTTAACATGAATCTTTTAACATTCCTTGTGTTGGTCAAACAGTCTCTTTTAAGTTGTTATCTGAGATAAGAGCTGGATGGATCTATGCTTCTCTGAATTCCCGTGGTCAGTTTGACAGTTTTATTGGTCCTGGAGAGGGGATGTGTCTCTGTTAAGTGTTTGTGTGTGTGTTATTTGGTTCTTAGGGAGTGAGTGAGTATGATATGTGTAAGCGTGTGTATTGTTGTGGGTGTGTGTTATCATTTGGCTCATTAGGGAGTGAGTGAGTATGATGTGTGTAAGTGTGTATATTCGTGTGGGCGTGTGTATAAATGTGAATGTCTGTCTTGTGTGGGTGAGAAATGTGGGTAGGTTTTGTTTTGTTGAGTTATATATATTAGTACTATCTATATTGTTAAATTTATGGTTTAGCCCGGCTGGATATTGTGTTTTTAGACGTTGTATCCACTTATTTTCATGGGACTCTAAAATCTTTCTAATGTTATCTGCTCTGAACTTTTCTATTCTCTCAATTATAGTGAATTTGGCATGGGTTTTGAAATCGTGTTTTTCCAGGTGGAAAAGCTGTTCTACAGGTTATAATTTTTCATGGGGAGTCGACTTAATTCGATTGCGATAATTATTAATTCTGTAGTGAAAGGGCCATTCAGATTTTCCTACATATTGTTTCTGGCATAGTGTGCATTCTAGGAGGTAAATTATGTTTTGACTTCTACAGTTAGAATCGTGGTAGATTTTGAAAGTAGATTTAGTGATTGAGCTAGTGAATGAATTCATGTGTTTAATATGGTTGCAACATAAACTTCTTTTGTTGTTACATGGCTGGGAAAATCCTGTTGTTTTTGTTCTTAGTTTATTACGGATTACCTTGTCCCCTGAAATGTGGTTACTACCTATGATTTCTTTTAGGTTCTTAGGTCTACGATATGCAAGAAGGCCGGGTTCCTTAAACAATTTTTTTAGGTCTGGTTTAAGATGTAGTATTTCCCAGTGACGTTTGATTATTTGGGATAGTGGAGGCAGAGTGTGGTTGAAAGTGGTTACTAGAGGGATGTGGCTAGATTTATTTTTAATCTTGTACATTAGGGTATATATATATATATATATAAACTAAATTTGGCATTAAATGACCTACAGTGGTTGATATGCCATAAAACACAACCAACCAACCAACCATAAAAAATGAATAAAAAAAAGAATTTGAAATTGTTTTTGATATTAGGTAGTCTTCCCTCAAAACTCTGTGGCCTCAATATAGACCAAAGACATCAGGAAATGCCTTAAATCACTTCTTTAAAAACAATGACTAGGTATTGCTTGGGAAATGAATCCAAGGAGTCCCTTTGTGATTATCACCAGAAACTAAGTAATGAATTAAAAAAATAAATAAATGAATAAATAAATAAAATAATAACTATTGTGATTAACATGAACTGAGCTTTGAATGCAAAATCTTTTCAGACCTTTAATACACATCAAAATGTCTGTTCTGTTACTTTCACTTTTATTAATAATAAAAATAGTTAATTTTCTAAGTTTTGATATACACAAAGTTTTACACTTTAGTAATAATGTACACTGGAAAGGTGCTGAAAAGTTATTGACTTAGATTATGCTTGATCAGATTTGACCTTCTGATGTATTATCAGATTTTGGGAAGCAAGTCACACTTCCCAAAATTTAATCAAACATCAAAATTGTTTTTGTAAAAGGGTTTCCTGGTGAGACTGAGAACTTTTCAGCACCCCTCTAGCATTTAAATACAGAACTGCATATCTAAGGTTATACTGAAGAGCTCAAATATTTTTCTAGATAGGAAATGTCAAGACAGTGAGTTGTATAAAACTCAACATGTGCAGAAAAGATTTAACCTATTGCAAAATGTATTATTTTTAAAGCATCTTAAAGCCAGTATTCAGAACTGTTCAAAAACAGATATTTACTTTTGTCTTATATAACTTAAATATTCACACAATAAATAATGTAAGATAAAAGATTTTTCATTTAAGAATCAGAAAGAAATGGTTTAATATTTTTATCAACTGCATTATTACTGACAGGTTTATAGATAAAACAACTGAAATAAAATTCCGCTGACATAAAGTAAAATCAAAACAGAAGGACACAAGAATTTTAGTCAAATGTAAAAATGATGTTTTATGTTTTCGTCTTTTAAAACAGTCTTTGTGTACCTGTTAATAAAATAAGGTCCTTTAAATATACAAGAGCCTTGATTATTTTGAAGGAAAAAGTGGCAATTAGCTAAAAATGGCCTTGATCCATGGTTGTCTCTATTTTAAAAAGATTTTAATTAAAAGAAAGTTTTTTGTTGGCATAAACATTTTTTCAGTTAACTGAAGCAGAAAGGTAAACAAAAAAAAAAAACTAGTGACATTTCACTTTTTCTTAATAATATGAATGCTCATTCAGAAGAGGTAAGAATATTAACAAATGATCACCTGTAAGAGACAGAGCCTATAATTCTTTAAAATAAATGCTAAATTTTGAAACTTTTTGATCTAGCAAAAGATTTCATGACCCAAACAATGAAGAACTGTATTTCTATATATGTTCCCATTCAAGAAAACAAATTCATATCCAAAAGTTTGATCATTTGTTAGACATTATTTAATTTTTTTCTTTTCTAGTAACTGCTCTTCTCAAAGTCCATTATGATTTGTCCAGATTTTGAATTAAAAGTAATAGCAACAGGTATTTCTGAACCACATGAAACACTGATGGGGGATTTCAGTAGATGAACTCCTTGCCGTGTGTGCCGATCCCATGTGACAAACTCCTCAGAAGAGTTGCTTTCTGGCATCTTCATGCCTGTACTGATAATAGATTCTCCAAATTTGTACTCAACCCAGAATGCAATTCCATTGCAACGACCATCCCTGAAAGAAAAACATCAAAAGATGTAAAATGTGCTTCAAATACGAATTGAAAGTGTGATGTCTGCTAGATATAGCTATATCAATGAGTCTGTAGCTTAACATTGCAAAAAGCAATGATGTTACAAATTTTTTAAGCAAATGAACTTTAATGAAATATTTAAAAGATTTTCATAAAACTATATTTATTTACTTGTATATCACTAGAACATTGCTGTGATTAAAAAAAAACAAAAAGCAGTTGATCTAGCAAAAGCTGTATGTACTAAATTTATTAATTTTGAAAATATTTGAATTTATAATATAGTTATCAATTTGAGATCATTTATGTATTCCACAAAAACAAGGCATTTTATTTTGCTGCACCTAATAACATTAATCCAGAATTCATCACATAGAAATAAAAAAGTATTTTAAGTACCTTTTCAAAACGAGAAACTTTTGGTATCTTATGTTGGTATCTGAGAAAACAGTAGACACATCAAAAGAAATCATCTCTACACTTTCTGAGAGGGCATAACCTGGATACTCCCACAGAGGTTCTGCCTCAACATTCTGGTCTGCTCTTATTGATGAATCCTTGATTAAAAAAAAAATTAAATAAATAAAAAAAAAAAAATAAAATATCAAAAAAAAGCACAGAAACAAATGGAAGAAAAATTAACCTTATTTACATAATTCTTATTTCTATTCATTAAGAAAAAAAAAAATTCTGACTGAAGTTCCAAGGTGAAATTTTTTCATTATTCCACAGAGTCAAATAAGTATCCTCTTTTATATTGGTTCTAATCAATGTGAAATGCAATCATGGAAATTAAAAAAAAATGTATTGAGCAAGGCTCACAAAACTTCCAAGTTAAAAGATACACACAATGAAAATTGAAGAATATATCAGTCAAAACATTGTGGTAAAAACAACAAAGATACTAATCCAAACAATGGAATGCAGGAACTTTTGCTTACAGTTAAGTTTGATCCCCAAATTTTAATCTTATACAGTGATTAGAATTTAAAAGATTAATCTTGCAAAATTGTAACATACAATTATACAATTTGTAAAATAATTCTACTAAAATGACAACAAAAATGAATTTATAGACACCAGCATGCAAGGAAATAAAAAACAAACAAAATGTGAAAGCCAATAGCAAAATTGTATGAAGATAAAAAAAAAAATACTTTCACTCACAGAAATGTGAAAATATTAATTACATCAACCAAATTTTCTTACTTGTTAATCAAATATTAAATATCTACAAGTAATTTCTCCAGTGTTACTTTCATTTTAGTCCTTTAAGTGGAAATAAAAGCAGATTTTTATATTACTAAGGTTTTTGAAAACGACTTCACAACTACTGCATGAAATATGTTTGTGTGTGTGTGTGTGTGTGTGAAAATATACAATATTGCACACTGAGTGCTGGTAATATATATATATATATATATATATATATATATATATATATATAGGAGGGCTGGCTATGCAATAAACTCTGTTTTCTTGATATTTAATATAAGGCCAAAACAATGGTAGGCCATCTTACTAGATGTTGATATTAGAATCTGTGATACATCTCTAGAACATTTTCTATCTCTAGGCAGCCTTTTATCAAACAAATGCACCTCAGAAAAGGATGTGGAACACAGAATTGGAGCTGCACAAGGGGCATTTGGAAAGCTAATCAAATGCATCTTCAACAACAAAGATCTAAACTTAACAAAACTTATGGTCCATAATGCTATTGTCAATGAACTTTGCTATATGATTGCGAAACCTGGATGTCGCAACATCCAAAAATTAGAACGCTTTCACTAGCAAAAGCTTTGTTCAATCTTGAACATCAAATGGAATTACATTGCCAACTTCGAAGTCCTGGAAAGCACCAACAGTCAAAGCATCAAATTGCTGATCATTAAACATTGTCTTTGATGGTCAGGAGATGTAGCAAGAATGGAAGAGTCAAGGTTTCTATGTCAAGTCTTATTCAGCGAGTTCATTTCATTCCTAGGGAAAAACCATGGCATGCCCTCTTTGAAGATACAAGGACCAACTCAAAACAATACTGAAAGCCACTGAACGTGAGCCTAAAATGATTTGAAACACAAGCACAAGACTGTATTAACTGGTAATGTTCTATCACCATTGGAACCAAAAACTTTGAAGCCACCAGAAAAGAAAAGGAAGAAGTCAAACGACAAGAGAGAAAGGCTAGACAAAACTGACCTCGTCCTCCACCAACATTACTATGCAGTCAATATCATTGGCTCTTCTATGCAAGAATTTGTCTATCAATGCCATCATCTTAAACAAAGCTATCAGAAAAGAAAAAAATTAAATTCTTGGATACGAGATAAAGCCAAGGATGAGATATAGATACATAATCTTATTGCATGTATTGGATGGTTTATCCAAGGCATTAGCTCATCATTGGTCGATGATTTGTGTGTGTTCTGGTTATATAAAGGCAACAATAATTGATGTTCTGTATTAGATGTCATACACTCATCATCCAAAAAGTAGATATATTGTTTTCCAATGAAAGTTGTAATTATGTGTGTGGTTCAAAAGAGAATAACAAGAATACGATACTGATTATCTGAATATGCCTAGTTTTTTTTTGTTTTTTTTTTACTATCATCTTTTGTTTTAAAATTGTCTTATGAACTAAACTTAAATAAACAGTTTGTTGATCAACAACTGGAACTTGGAGAAAATGCCAAAGGAAGAATAAAGAAAAAAGTGCATCAACAATGCAGGAAATGATGAATAAATGCTTGCTAATGAAAAACCCTTAAAGCTGATATTATAAATCAAATAAAATCTTAATAAAACCCAGCAGAAACTTACCTCAATCAACTCATCAAATTCTTCTAGACAGAATCCTTCACAAAAATTAACAGGAGATCGTATTTTAGAGAGATCTTTGAATTCCATGGCAACTGCATAGATCTTCATGCTTTGTGGTATATATTTAAGGGAAACTGGTAACTTGCTAAGCACATACCAGAAATGGAGATTGTGCCAAGGTAGAATACTTGGTTGGAAATAGGGCTCACCAATCACAAGATCAATCTAAAAGTAACATACATAAAAACAATACAAATCAAATATAAAAAAAACAAAGAAGAAAATAGTGTATAAATTTTGTATTACAATCTTATGGGAGCTTGTTTTTAGTTATTTATATTAAATATCATAATTTGTTCAGAAACAAAGACATATTCATTTGGAAATAAAGAGAAACTAAGTAATTGGTCAAAGCATTCAAATTTTAAGGAAGCGGTTCATGATTTTGGGAAAAAGTTATTAAAATATCAATTTGTTTATATATAACTTTTTATCATTGAACTTATTAAATGAATTAATTCTACAGAATTTATAAATATAAGCAAATAAGATAATTGTAGGAAATTAATAAGAAAGAAATACATGCTAAAAATGAATAATGAAAACTTTAGAACTTTTTCTGAACCTTCTTTTGAGGGTTTAGAAAAAAAAATCCACTATACCAATGATACAATCAGATGAATTCTACATTTAATTCTATAGAATTAAATAAAAAGAAAAAAAAATTAAAAAAAAACTATTGCAAACAAGAAAGACATACTTGCATAGAGTCACATTCTTCTGGAGTTATATCAATTGGAGCCTTTTTAATAATTGTAATAATATCATCAAGGTGATTATATTCAACAAATGATTGAAGGATATGGCATGCAGATTCATGAGGCTCTAATACATAGACCTAGAAAAGGAGGTTGAAAAAGACAATATCAACATTATCAAAAAGACTAATCAAATAATGCAGACAATATTAATAGTAACTGTGTTACATGTATTGGATGGTTTATTCTAGGCAGTGGCTCATCAATTTGTAAATAAATATTCTTTAACTAAAGTCCTGGCACATCATTTTTTTGGTTTCTAATTAAGAGTGTTTTTATACATTTATTTAACCAAAAGGTATTTATTAATATTCTTTATGAATACTTCATGCATATTGAAATATTTCCTTAGTCTATAAGCCTGCTTTTAAATTTTTTTTTTTTTTTTACATGTTAGTGTAATTTACAAAATTTTCACATAAAAAAAAGAAAAAAAAAAGTTGTTTTATCCTCATATGAAGCATTTCTTGAGTTTTGGTAGCCTTGATTATTCACTCTTGAAAGACATGTAACACAGAGACAATAATTGTATAGTCTCGCCTTCAGGATCAGATAATAGTTGATGTATCAAAACACTTAATTAAAAAAACAAGTACTGCTGTTTTGTGGAAAGGCTCCCGGCAGGACATTTTCCCATTCACTACAATCTTGACCTTTTCAAGACTCAGGTTAACCATTATCTTTCCTGCATAACCCAATGAACTTCACTTTTTGCCTTTTCTTATTCTCATACCATTTACCTGGACTAGTTCTTGGACTTTATATCAGATGAATATCAGTATTGGAAAAAAATAAATAAATAAATAAAAAAAAATAATATTCTACAATTATGTACAGATATACATAATGGGTGTTCTGATCTAGGGAGAAAGTAAAGTTTCTTAAAATACTTTAAAAAATTGTATTAAATAAATTCAATACAAAGCAAAACACAAATTGATAACCAACATTTAGATTCAGCTTTAAAACTTAACCAAATAACCCAAGTTTTGCATAAAGTCATTTTCCTGAATTAATTATTCATACTTTATAGAGTTACTTTACAAGTAGGTAGTCATATTAGGTTTTACATTCTATAAGATAATATATGTCTTATGTAATTAAAAAAAAAAAAAAGAAAAAAGAGTTTACCTTATAGGCCCCAAGTCGAGCAGCAATAAAAGGAAGTAAACTGCCATCACTTATGGACAAGCAATGGGTATTTTTTGTAATAACCTATGGAAAGAAAAAATATTTTAATTAATATCTGGTTGAAAAAAAAAAAAAAATAATTATTACCATTTCAAGGATCTGAAGATTAAATGTTCTAGACATAATAGTTTTATATAAGTTTCAGTTCAGAATATTATATACTTATAAGTGATAACCAAGACAAAACTCATTATTTGAGATCATATTATATATATATATATATATATATATATATATATATATATATATATATATATATATATTATTAACATAGAGACCGAGCTAATGTACCAGCCAGTACCAGGCAATCCATCTCTCATAAATCCTTCCATATTCCTCGATGGTACAGCATTAAAAACTATTGAGGTGTTGAAAGAAAAGAGTTGGTTTTAAGTTTGACACTGCTGTCCCAAGTAAAAGGAGGAAGATAGATTCCTATAGTCTTTCTTAGTCTCCGATGATACGCACACCCAAACTGTACGACCAACTCAAGGACAAAAGAAAAGACCCCACCACCTGCGAGATTGCTTGTTTTATATCAGTCCTAACTGATTGAAATTTGCATACACTACACGTCTGTGACTCATAAATAACACCCCCCAAGGACGCTCGTACTTTTATTGTTAACTTCCAGCGCTCATTTCGGATTCTTAGGTAGGCCATTTTTTTTCTCCTTGTTTGTCCAGCATTTCATTTAGCCAGGGACTGTTGCTACATTTGCATAAGCGCCCACTATTCTGCTTACATATCATGCATGCCACTCGTTGCCTCTTAGAATGGCGAACTGTAGTCAGTTCAGCAGAACCCACAGACTGCTGCCTTTCAGTTTCGCTACTGGCGTTCACATATCTTGGATCAACAGTGTCTTCTGATGGAAAGATAGATGGAGAAATCCAACCCAGAATAGCCAAAGCCAGCACTTCAGTTTGGTGTTCCATAACATAGCTTCTAAAAAAGGTGCCATATGGATAACTACCAAACTGCAAGTGTTCAGTTGGATGTCCACTCCTTTGCTACAAAGACAAATTGAAGGACAACTTGAAATGTTTGATTTGAAAACCTGGGAAGCCCAAGCATCAAACTGAAAGGAATGACATAAGACATGTTTCATGAAGTTAAAGGGTTTTGGAGACAGTAGACTGAAGCACCGTGATCAGCTTCATCAAGTTCTGAAGCAGAGATGCCATCAAAATCCTGCTTTAACAAATTTCATCTGTCAGTGTAGCTTTGTTGCCCGCAGCAAGGCTGGGCTAGTATCACACTTAAGAAGAAAGCACAAATGAAATATATTCTGTCTTTGTCTTTCATTTTCCCCAAGAAAGTAAGGGACTTGTGGTCTGTATAAATTTGAATAGGTTGCTAAGATGCAGACACAGACTTCAAAGTGTTGTAAGCTCAATAAGAGGCTAACATTTCCTTTTCTATGGTTGAGTAGTTTTTTCAATGTATATTAAACTTCTTGGAAAAATAGCTAACAGGATGTTTGATACCATTTCGATCCACCCGTAATAAGACTGCACCTATTCTGTGGTCGCTAGCGTCTACCATCAAGTTAAACGAGCTTGTAAAGTCAGGAACCCCCAGTACGAAGTAAAGCTTTGACTTGGCTGAAGGCTTGTTGACAATTTTGAGACCATTCAAATTTTTGTCCCTTCTTAAGGAGATTAGAAAGAGGGGTAGATATGTCTGAAAAGTTTTGACAAATCTTCTATAGTACCCTGCCATTCCCAAAAATCTTCTTAGGGTCTTCACATTTGTGGAAACTGGATACTTGACAATGACTTGGATTTTGGCATCAACCGGGGCTATCTGACCATATACTACTACATGCCCTAAATAAGTGAATTTGGCTTGGCAGAACTTGCTCTTGGACAGATTTATGGTGAGGTTAGCCTTCCTCAACCAGGTAAATACTTCTTGAAGAGTTTCTAAATGCTTTTCCTATTAATCATTGTACACAACAATATTGTCTATGTACACGCTTACATTCGCATGGTCTCCCAAACAACGGTTCATCATCCACTTGCGAGTTCTTCATTCCAAATGGCATGACACAGTATTGGTAAAGGCCATTGGGGTCACAAAAGCCAAAATTTCCTTTGCACGATCTGAAAAAGGTACACACCAGTAACCCTTCAAAAGATCTAATTTCAGTAGTCAGTGCAAAATCTCTGTCAGTGTTTGGTTAAAATCTGTCAATATTTAATTTTACTTTATCCCTCTTTTCTTTTTTTTTCTTATCGTTACATTTTCTGAGAGCACTGACCTTTTATTCAAAATGCTTCTAAAATATAAGCATGGACATAGATTTTTAGGAGGGGCTTAGATGAGGGTCCATAACAATGTGTGTGTGTGCGTGTATATGCCAATGGATTAAATCTAAGCTCATCTTACTTCATCAATAAAATCCAAATGGGTAATAGCAGCTGATAAAAATACTCTTTTTGTAATTAAATGTTCTTTTTATAAAGACACACTGTTTACTTACCTAAACATTTTATTAATTTGTTCAATTTTATTTTGTGGATAATGAATGTTACAATTCTGGCAAAGGGTAATCTCATCCAAAACTTTGGGAACCATTGTACTAGACACAGATAAATCATTAGATCATTTGTCATAAATTATTATAAGGAATCATATTAAAAAAAAAAAACCTAAATCAATACATACAGAAATTATTTTAACTAATTTTTTAAATAAGAGAAAAACAGCCATAAGCAATAAAAATAACTTTCTTTCAGAACATCTATATTTAATTACAAATAAAAACAATATTGTTTATTGTAAAACAAGCTGACTACAAAACACTTACTTTTTTAAGTTCTTTGATATAGATCTGATTGCGCTCAGTGTCATTTATCATGCCAAGGCGGGTTCTCCCATAAGTATGATGGACACCACATGTGCAGACCGGACGATCAATGTCATCAGAATGTTTTGGGCTTCAATGAGGAAAGTTTAATAACTAACGTTCATAATGGAATAAAAAAAAAGATTACTTTTTATAAAGTTTGTGTGCACAAGTACATGTGTACAACTGTTACTATTTCAACATCATTACTGGGAGAAATGCTTATTAACTTTAAGCATTACAAACATTTATGTATCAGTTTTTCATTAAAGGGTGAAGAGATACCATATAAATCTTAAGCAAACACTAAAGAACATCTTACACTAATGAAACCTCTCAACTAATCCTAATAATATATCCTCCTCTCAAACACTAATGATGGCATAAGCACTCAATTTTTACTAAATTATATCTAACCAACAAGAATATTGTTGGGAGTTCAAAAATATACAAATATGTATAAATACATTTTCAAATTCCTTCTACAACTACAATTTCATGAAGTTTAAAAAGAGACACATAAAAGTAAACTTGGTGTCACCCCTACAAGGACATTGTAGTAAATACATCAAGTGACTCTTCTTAACCAATATTAAATTTTGGCTTCATTTAGAGCTTATCCCTGGCCTACATAAGAATGGACCAGACACTACTGACAACTCACAGCAAGCACACACAAATGTACCCACAACAAACACAGCAAATTCACTAAGACCACGCTGAAGAGAGCCTTTCTCATTTGGGCTCTCACACCATAATGAGAAATCAACCCAAGCAAGATAAAATACTTACCCAAACACCCGCTATATTAATCACAGAAAAAGAAACTGAGTTATTTTTATCCATATGTATAATTCACACCTACATATTTTACACATACACACATTTGTTTTCCCAAATTTTATTACTCTAGAGACTTTAAGTCTTCAAAGAATGCCTTTTCTCTTTCACTATTGATGTTATTAATTTGTATTCAAATTTGCTTGATGTTTATTCTTCATTTAGAGCATGTGAAGAATCATTTGTCCTTTCTTTCTCTCCTGGCCAAAATACCACCTCTTTCCTTTAAAGAGATTAGCAGTAAATGCCTTCATTTGACCATCAAAACAAGCCCCATGCAACAATATAAAATCATTTTTATAATTGTCAGTGTTTCTTATATTGGACACCAAATTAATGTTGTATATAATTGTAATTTTGTCTATATATATTTTTTTTTAAATTCACTCACATGCACAAAGAAATTGGAATACCTGTCCCTTCAATCTAATTTAAGCTTAAAAAATCAATAAAGAAAATTTATTTTAGCATTTGATAAGGTGCAACCAAGTGACTTACAGTTAATAAGATACTCATAACAAAACATTTCTGAAAGATTTTAATTTAATAAATTGATACCACCAATGAAATTTAATTTTTGCTTAGCAAAATTAAATTAAAAAAGAAGAGAGTAATGTTTTACATGTCACTTGTATGTGTAATATTACTATAATTTAATGCCAGTAAATGATAAATAATAAAATTATTACAAAAATTACAAAATTTATAAAACTACCTCCCAAACAAGTAAGCAAACTTACCTCATTTTTCACCAAGGAAAATATTTATAACTGTGTTACAGATTTAATTCCTTTTTATTTGCCATCTGCCTTCATATTTAATGCATAAATACTTACTAAAATAAAAAAAATTGTATAAAATAATTAAGACGAATAATTTAAAATACTCACTTTTTATCTGTAGTCACATCAAACCATAAACTATATTCATCATGACAACTGGTTAGAGTAATTTGCTCACTTTCCTTGACTGTGATATATTGAAAAGGATAGTAAATAGCTTGCATCCAGTGATCTCGCCACTAAAGGCAATAAAAAAATAAAATTACAAATACTTAATATTTTATTCATGAAAGCATGTGTTAGTCATGTTCAACTTTTTAAAACTTAATAAGAAAATAACAAGAATACTATTATTTGAATTTCATGCTCACATAAGTGATTTATTTATTCTATATCGACAATACAAATATATAGTGACAAGAATTATATTAACTTGAAACACAGAGCAGTTCAGATAAAGTCATTTATTAATTATCAAGCTGGAAGTGATGCAACTTAGTGCCATATCACTTATGATAGGTATCTGAAGAAAACCAGATATTCAAAAGAGTGACTAAAAAATTAAGCTGGCTGGGGGTGGTGAGAGAGAAAGAGAGAGAGATTTTATAAGCATAGGAGTGCCAACTAACTTTTTATGATCCTAGGAGCCCTAGTAAAAATTTCCTAAGAATATTTCATTTGCTGAAAACCCTTATTTAATAAATGTAAGTTCCACTGACTTCAGATGATCTGATAGATACACATTTCCATGAATTCAGAGGTAACAGAGGTAATTCAGATCCTTTTTTTTTATATAGCTAATATATAAGCTACAATACAGTTTGCTTTTGTTAAATTTTTAAATCTATCTTGTCATTTCTTACCATGGTTATGAAATCTAGATTATTGACTAAGACTTCTAATCATGATCTTGTACCAGTAATTAAAATACCAGAATGTAGGCAGCAGGATAACTGGTTTAGTAATATTTTTTGTAGATTAGCATTTCTTAGACATTTCTGAAGCCACAACATTTGTCAAAATAGAAAATATTGATTTTTTTTTATCAATTTAGAAGAGGGTAGGAGTCCTGTTCATAATAACAATACATAATAAAATAGATTCTTTACTTTTTACAGTTTGGACTTTGTTATTTACAAATGTCAAATTTGAAACTGTGCTTACATCATCACATAGGCAATCATGACTCTCCACAATTTCCTATCCCTTGTGGCTCTTAGTAATTCTTTTCCCTATACTAAGGCTATAACCACCCCCCATTCATTCTGCCATCCATTCCCACAAGCCTTCTCCCATCTTTTTCACAATATGTCCTTAATGGTTAAGTTTTCCAAGTCCTCCTTCCTCATTATATGTCTAAGAAAATTCAGCTGTCTTTTCCTGATTCCAAGTAGAAGTGTTCTTTTTCTTGCCATTTTCTATAAGACTTCTTTGTTTCCCTTTGCTCAGTCTATGGAATTTTCAGTATCCTTCTGTAGAAGTTGAAGGACTTGAAAAGCAAAAATATTGTATATATGACAATAAGTAAGCAATTGTAAACATGTCCTCAAAGAGGTTAAGTCTTTGTTGATATAGGTTATATGGTGCCATACACTAACAAGTTTGGTTTTCATGGCTACTGGTGTGTGAGGAACAAGAAGACTTACCTCCCACAAAGTGAATTTGCTTGGCGTGTCAGGTCTTGTTGAGAGATCATGACTGGCATTAAAAGCGAAAATGAATTATTCCAAAACTCTTATATCGTGGACAGGCGTACAACGAAAAATAAAAATAAAAAAGACTAAAAATTCAAGCCAGTGTAAATTTATAAGATCGAAAGTCTTGGGCAAATGAGAAGTAAGTCTAGTATGCAAATTTTAGTTGCCCCTGACACAGGCATAAATAGAGAGTCTGTGAGGAAGATGGGACAGAACAAAATACGTTGTTGGTGTGACAGTGTAGTGTGTACTAACAAGAGAATAAGGAAGAGGTCAATAGCGACAACTCAGTTGGTAGAGCAGAGAACTGGGAAGAAAGCAAGCACTTTAATCCATTTCAGTCAGCACAAACAACGGGTGAACTGAATTACCCACATGGTGGCTCTGTGATAGCGTGTTAAATAAGATTAAGTCTTCTTTTCCTTCTCTCTTCACTTATTTTTAGGTTTAACATCTGCTAATAAAGCAGAATGCTTTACTCATAAATTCTCTTCAAATTCTACTCTTGACTCATCTGGAGCATCTTTACCTGACTTTCCACTTAAAACTGAGTCTCTACTGCATGATCTGCCTATAACTCCATCCATAGTTTCTGCTATCATCTATAAACTGAATCCTCACAAATCATGTGGACTATCCCTGCAATAGTCCTTAAGAAATGTGCTCCTGTTCTCTCTAAACTCTGCAAGAAATACCTTGCTGTTTTTTGCCTTCCTGCTTATTGCAAATCCTCTTCTGTAGTCCAGTCCTTAAGAACTTGAGCAAACCATCTGATCCTTCTATCGATCTATTAGCCTTCTACCTCTTTTTGGCAAAGTTACAAGCAGCTCTAATTAACTTTGAATTGGTTAAGCATTTCACTTCACAAAGTCTTCTTTCAGATAAGCAATATGGCTTTCGCTTCTCTAGGTCAATTGCTAATGTGTAATGATTACTGCTGAAAGCTTTAGCTAAGAATGACGAAGCTCAGGCTGTTGCTTTGGATATCTATAAGGGATTTGACAGAATTTAGTATACTGGTCTTCACATTATGAAAGATTATGGTATTTCTTTATGAATTTTGAACTGATTCAGTCTTTCTTATCAAACTGCCACTCTTCTAGATCTTTTTGCATTAATGCAAGTGTTCCCCAGGCCTCTATCCTTGGACCTACATTATTCCTAATTTTAATCAACAACCTTTTTGATGGCATCAGGACTCAATTCAGTATCTATGCTGATGACAACCATTTACTCCTGACAATAGCAAGTTTGATAAGGTCAAATTGGCAGCTGATTTAAAAAATGACCTATTAATTTTAATGCTTCTGAAACAAAACTGATTTCTTTTAATCATCTGAGAGAACACTTTTTGCCTTCCATCAGTTTAGCAGATGCTAACCTCCAGGAGAGTGACTTGCTGCACCTTCACAGACTAACATTTTCTGCTGACATGAAGTGGAAAGATTATATTGAATCAATTTCTAGGTCTGCTGCTAGGAAAGTTGGTTTACTGTGATAGTCTGAAAAGTCTTGCTTTGAATATTGTTGCCACATCTGGTCTGGTACTCCTGCTATATATTTAGAGATTCTTGATAAAAATCTAAAGAATCTGCAATGTTATTAGTCCTAACCTGGTATCTCAGCTTCAGTCACTTTCCCACCACCATAACATAGCTTCCTTGTGCCTTTTCTATAAATACCTTCATGGTAATTTTTCAGATAGATTTTCCTGTGTGGTACCTAAACTTTATGAATTTAAGTGCAGTACTAGATTGTTGGCAAGGTCTCATTTTACAGTTAAAATGATTAAATGTAATCATAAGTTCTATGTTAATAATTTCATTTCTTGCACTTTTGCTTGTGGAACTTCTGGCTTCCGAGTCAACTTTGATATTCAAAAATTGAAGTGCAATGTCAATCATTATCTTCTGCCTTCTTAATTCCTGCTATTTTATTGTTCTCTATCCTTAATAGTTTTTTTTCTTTCTCATATTTTATAACACTAAGTAACCACTTACGTCTTTGTGACTTTTTGGCCTTGCTTGGTGTGAAATAATAAAGAAAAGAAAAAAAAAAGGAAGAAAAAGAAAGTGCATGCCAGTTCGTTTTTTTTTACCTGAATTTCACAACCCTCTGGATGAGCCCAATAAGGAGCACAACTTAATAGAATTTCTCCATCTACATCCATCTTGAGATTCCACCACATGAAGATGACATCAATGCTTCCATTTGACTTTGCTTCTATCTTATTGACTACTTTCTCATTGAACAGTAATTCTTTTTTGCCACTAAAATCAAAGCTGGAGAATAAAAGAAAATATACAATCTAGTAATTGTTTGTAAGATTATTTTATAACTCTTTGATTCTTATTAACATTCTAAAGCCAATTAAAAAAAGATTTATATCAATAATTATAACATATGCAAGTATTGATGTGATGGCACAAAATTTAATTTGTGTTTTTTCCTCTCATAATATTAAAAGATCATAACCTTTGTAAAAGAAATGATTAAAAAGCCATTATTAGATTATCTTTAGCATGTCAAAACATTATATATCTAATTTGCAAATATAAATGTATTGTATATAAATAAACAGTGATTCAATAAGCCAGAGCTTGTAAATAATCAATGACAACTGAGATCCAAGACATCAACCAATGAATACAAACTAAACAGTTTCCTATAAAAGGGGGCACTGAAAAGTTTTTTTTTTAAAAAAAATCTTGTTTGGTCATTTGGTTAGGCTGATAACTTTTCAACACCTCGCCATGCGCATGTATGTGTGTATTTAGGCATCAAGAATTAATTTGAACAAAAAGGTCTGTTTATTTAATTTTTTATTGAATTTTTCCAATTTTTGAATGAGATGTATTAGTCCACTCAAACAAAACTGACGAGGAAGGCAGACAATGCACAGATTTCTCCATTGCCCATGAACTAACCCAGATCATTGAAGAACCCACCAGAGTCCCAGATACAACAGGACAGCAGGCAAACCTCCTCAATCTATTTCTAACATCCTGCCCTGATAAATGCTAAGCAAAAGTCTTACCCACCATAGGTATGATAGACCTGTTGAAAATTCCACTCTAGTCAGATGAACACTTATAGTTAGATAAAAACGTTGGAGTTACCTACCTCTAGTTTCTTTGTTTTTATTGTTGTTGAGGGCACACTGTAGTATTGTCTCTAATAAATAAAATAAGTCACCATGTGTATTAACACAGTACATGTGTGTATCCTCCTATCTGGGATATGAAGTTGAATACCTGCATTCACACAAAATAAAGTATGTCTAGGTTTGCTATCTAACATGTGTAAATTTCTAACAAAACCATTCCCTAGTTCAGATTAATTCCAAACCAATGACTTACCCCAATTTATCATTCCATATAATGGTCTTTCACTATGCAAAGGCAGACTGGGACAGCTTTTGATCCTATATAACTGCTCTATCATTGCTACCATGGTAAGTGCTCAGACAAACTACATTCCTGGGTTTTGCCAGGTGTAATCTTTACAGCTAAGACCTACCATGACACTTACATTCCCTCTGTATTCCATTGGCAAGAAGTTCCACTCAACAGCTTCTATCTAATAAAACTGTCAACTTTTACATGAGTGATATTCAATTTTGTTATAAAATCAAACCTTGTCAAATAATACTTTCATCAAAACCAATAATTAGATGAACACACAATTCTTTACTCATTCAGAGCCTGATTTCACATTTTAATGGTGAAATGTTATTTAACAATGACATTTTCAAATTCTTTATTGAATGTTTCAAAGTAAAAATGAGACTTACTCAAACACTTTCTGTGGTTCACTGATTGAATGGAAATCAGAAAGTGAAATCTGATTTAATTGTAAATCATGTAAAGTTAGTGCTCCGGCACAATTCTGTAATTCTGGAGGTACTTCCACTGAAGGAGCATCATCAATAAGTATTGGTTGAAGTTCATTCCAGCTTCTACCCAATGCAGACTGTGCAATTTGTACAAAAATACTTGCTGAATGAGGAACAACTAAGCAGTCAGGCTGTAAAGAAATTGAAGCATAGAATTACATCAACATCATAGAGAGCTCTTCTGAATATTATTGGAGTGTATAGTATAAATATGTACATTTTTAACATTATTTTTCTCTAAGTTTAATTGTAAAATTATATGAGATTTACAAGAGAATGTGAAATTACATTTCCTGAGAAGAAGGAAAAAAAAAAAAGATTTGTCAGGAAGCCATTAAAATCCGTATAATAATCTTGTGAGAAATATCTTTTTGCTGGAACATATTTTCATATTTGAGTAGATGGCACTAGACAGACCAGGAAGGCACTCCATCTAAGGGAAGGAAAACCAAAATTTTAAACCTCCGCTGCCTTGTGTCCAAAACACGGAAAAAGCTATGGAAGTAAATCCAGACAGAAAACCCAAAGTGGAGCTTCGAAGGCAGTTGACTGTCAACACTGACAAGTTTCCAGCAACACCTGCAGCCAAGCTGTCCCCAAATGTAATGCCCTGTATTCATTTGGATCTTGTCAGTACAGCCAAGAGGGGTGGGAGGATATGTAGTCTGGGCAGTACATTTCCTCCATATACCATCACCAGTCTAGAAGAAAAACTAAATTCAAACCACCTGGTAGGTCTTACTTCTTTAACTTTTGAAAGGAGGGATGGGGTAACCTCAACATCACTAATGCAAAAGGAACCAGCAAGCCATTGCACTATTCTGCCTTGAATGTTATCATGAACCACAACTGTGAGATGGAGAGGAGTGGTGACCACAGTGGTGTAAAATGCGCTAACTGAATAAATTAATATTTTCATAAATACTTTAATAAAAATTTTCCAGTTATGGTTTTCAGTTACAAATAGTTGACATTTTTCAATTTTCATTTGAAAAAGAGTTTGAGTTTACTGACCTCCAGAAGATTTTTGAGTGCATGTGAATATGTACCTAGGGCTCCTTCCCCAATTAGTTCTGTATCAAACACTTCTGTAACCAAAATATTTGCTTTTTGGGGCATGTCCTTTCCTGAAGAAAATGTTTTCAAATATAAGACAAAAATTAATTCCATGTAGCATAAATTTATTATGAACAATTATAACAATTTGGTACAAAAATATGAATGTGTCTGAAAAATAAAGAAAAATGGTGGTTACTAGGATTTAATGTTAAACCTTAGAACCATTTATAAACATGTTATATTTATAAGATTTATTCTCTTTTAGTAAAATATGATCAATATGGTCACTGCAAATAAATCAATATTATTTTTAACAAGGAGGCATATATTCTGTGTGCCAGTTAAACACTGCACCCCCATTAAAGATGGTCAATTTAATAATAAATATTAAGCTGACTACATAATAGTCAGGGCTCATAATAGGAAATTATTCCCTCCTATAAAATATTTTAGTAGTCATTCTGAAATAACTCTATACACTCCACAGCTAGTTACATCATGACATTGTACTAGGTAAATGGTGGATAATTGAAGAGCATGAAAAAATAAGGGTCAAAGATGTGCAATATTCCACAAGGATATCTGGTGTTCATTTTATGGCATCAACAACAGCAGTTATTAAATAGTAATAGTTTAGCAAGGCCATGTGTTGACTCAAATAAATATTAGATTTCAATAAAAATTTGGTATTTATTCATTTATGAATGCAAAGGGTATGTTATAAGAAAAATGTAGAAATATTTTTTTTAAGTCAGTCAACCCTCACTTTATTTAATTTTATGAAGTATCATGTAACGGTTACAAATACTTGTTTTTCCATAAAGTCTGCAAAGAAATTAAATCAGTTGAAATTTTATTCAAAACTTCAGAGATTTAGAACTTTTGTCTTAAATTGGAAAATAAAAATGGCAATAAAAGCTAAAAGATTGTTTTGTTTGAAATTTAAAATTTTTTTTTTTTTTTAAATACATTGTAAACTTTGTAAAAAGAAAAAATATTTGCTCAAAAAAGAATTTTTACAAGGTTTATTGAAAAACACAATTTTAAACATAAGATATGCAAATGACAACGTGTTAATAGCAGAAACAGAAAGGAAAGTGCAAGAACTCCCAGTGAAGTTAGTAAAGGAAAGTGAAAGTTCTAAGCATCAATGACAAGAAGACAGAATGCATGGTTGTCAGCAAGAGGAACAGCCTAAGATGCAAACTATGAATTGGAGATGCCAAAATGTGACACTGAAATCTGAAGGTGCATTGTTATAGCAAAAGATGCTAATGAAAAGCTAACCAAAGTATTAAGAAATGGGAAAACTTCATTAAACCATTATGCAATGCTGGACAATATCTTCACAAATGAAAAGAGACTATGGTAACAGTAATGTTGTTTTACAGAAGGATGCTGAGAATACCATGATATGTGTGTGAGAAAACGGAAAAAAAAAAAAAACTTCTTGCGACACAAAAACGAACGTCTTCTTGCGAACATGAAATGACCGCCTTCTTGCAAATGAACACTTTACAACAACAAACAAGAAAAACAGCATCCAAGAATGCTGCCAACAGTTGACCGACTGCAACGGCTTTTGTCGCCCAAGAAAAGACACCAAACGATTCGTGCGTCTTCTTCTTGTAGTCCTCGGTCGAGTCCATTATGGTACTCCAAGGTGTGCCTGGCAACAACAACAACACACACACACACACGCAGTTCAAGGATGCTTCCGCGCATGCTCGTTACACTCCTCCCTGATCTCAAGATCACACAAATGGCAATGTGGGGCAGGCCGTTTCTGCCTGGTGCTTTGTCTCAGTGGTATGGTCTCAAGCACTTCCTCACTGGTGGGACTTCCGGGACGTCACTACCTCGCCTCCAGCGAAGTTTTTCTCCATCACTACTGACGTGTAGTCCAAGTATATTTGCTCCATCCTGTAGCGGCTCTGGGGCCTTGCAAACCAAGCCAAACTGCTCCAGATGTTCCTTAACCCTCGTTGAAGAGGCCACGTTTTCATTGATGTAAACATTGTCAATGTAGGATGACGTTGCCCTTCGAATTTCCTCATCCTGCAACATGACCCCATTCATAATTGCTGACATGATTTTTGGAGCCACATTAAGACCAAATCCTAATCGAGTGAGGCAATATCTCTGTCCTTTTAACATGACAGTCTGAAAGGGCCAGAGTGATCGGTGGACTCGGAGATAGGCCCTTCTTAAATCGAGGGTGGCCACATTGCTCCCTTGCTGTCGCCATTCCCGCAATTTCTGGACACAAACGTCCGCATTGGCCGTATATGCATCTACAAAGGTATTCAATTTCCTGTAGTCCATGACCGGTCTCACTTTCTTCTTATTCTCTTTCACTATTGCCATCAACGGAATCAGTCCTCGAGGCGGCCCTAACTCCTCCTTGGGGTATGGCGTAAGCCAGCCGTTTGCTATCCAAAGCTGCAATTCATTTTTGTATTCGCTCCTGATATACTCTGGAACCAGGTACTCGGCTATTTTATTTTTCAGTGGCGTGGGCGTTCGTCCACCCGCCCACTTCCACGTTGCGGTCCATACGCATCTGCGCTGGTCGAAAGTTGCACTGAAGTCAGGTTCATTAATCCTCAAGGCAGCACAGATGGGCGGATCAGAAAACTCGACTTTGCCCGCCTCTGTGATGCGTACGCCGCCCAGCTCCTTAATAATGTCCATCCCAAGGAGCAGATCAAAACCTTATAACGCGCTGTCCACAAACAACACGCTGACTGTAACGGGGTTACCATTGTTGATAGTGAGTTTGATGTTTCCAACTCCACAGCTTCTGAGAGCTTTTCCATCAGTCGTTAGTACGTCTATCTTTTGTCAGCTCCACTGTTGACAAATCGAACCGTGAGTGAGTGACTGAGAGCAGCCCGAATCTACTAAAGCAGTACGCGTTATTCCATTGATGCGCACCTTAATCACAGGGAGCACCTCTTTCATGCTCGGTGCGGAGAAGAGACCGGCTGACGTCGCATCCCCCATTCTATTTCCCAGACACTTAGAGGCAATGTGACCTACTTTATGACATTGGAAACATTGTAGATCAAAAGCGTTCCTTTTGCGCCCGACCGCCGCGCATTGCTGCGTTGATAGCGGCAGTCTTTGGCAAAATGATTCGGTCCAGAGCACCGATAGCAGGTGACATCGCCATGGCGACGGATGGCTGGGGTCGGATCCTCTTTGACTTCAATTGGCTGAACGACTGCGCCACTGGTTCATCAGCCTCTTTTTCGTCGATCATGATAGCACGGGCTCTGGTCAACAATTGATTGAGTGTCATGTCTTCCATTCTGGATGATGCACGGAGTATCTGCTTAACATGACTAGGCAATCCAGACATGAAGGCACAGGTCATCCATTCTTTAGGAAGCAGTGCGATTGGTACAGCGAGCTTCTTTAATTCCGCCCAAATATCGTCTACTGTCTCGCCAGGTCGTAGACGCCACGCCTGAATTGGTCATAGGCCACGAACCGGTCAGTTCCAAACGTGGTCAGTAGAGCGTTCTTTATTTGCTCAATGTCACTTTTCTGTTCTTTGCTCAGCTGCCTATGCACAGCAAGGGCACCGCCTTTCAATCGCAGTGAAAGAATCCGTTCAATCTGCGTGATCTCGTATAATTTGCAGACCAGTTCCACCTTTTCAATCCATTCAACCACAGACTGTCCACTTGTATCACCACTGAATTCGGAGATCAGTTTTATGTCGAACGGTCTTTCCGCCATCTTGCTAGAGACAAAGTAAATGCTGAAATAGATTGTGTTGGAATGTGTCACAAAATAATAAATGATTTCGTCTCTTTCTCACATGCTGTCGTAGCGACAGACACAGTCTCCACTTCTGAGACTGAAAAAAACTGCCCTCCTTCACATTCCAGCCCTTTACATAGAGCTTGGTAACTCACCTATGCAAAACACCAATAAGCCAGCTACCAATCACAGTTCCCGCGCCTGCCCACCTCCACTCACTCTGGGGGTGTCAAGTTGACTGACCAACACATTACACCCACACGGTTACATTTTGCTCACTGATACACCAGTCACCTTTCACTTGATCATCCTGGGCTAGTCTCGTAAAAATGTTGTCGATCATCTGGGCTAGAAAAGGGTCCTACATTTCATCGTCCCATCCAGTGGTAACGGTGTTTGCCCTCCGCTTCACAAATGCTGTGGCGACACGTAACCAACCACATACCAGAAAATGACCAGTCAACTTCCCGCACAGCGAGAAGACAATTCGGCGGGTAAGTTTATCGGGGACTACCGGAAGTTCACATCCACAACGCCATCGCAGTTTTCTTTGCTCCTCCCAGACATGCAATCCCAACACGCGTGTGCCTATTCTTAGCTGCTCCAGGGTCTTACTTGACAGACCAAACTGCTTCAAATGTTCCTTGATGCGGACCACAGAACACACACTCTCATTAACAAAAACATTGTCGATATAAGAGGAGGAGGCTGCGTTGACGATCTCGTCCTGGCTCAAGACAGTATTAACAATGGCCCGCATGATTAAAGGGGCAAGATTGAGCCCAAATCCTAAGCAGGCTAGACAATACCTTTGTCCCTTAATCTCCACTGTTTGGAATGGCCAAAGGGACTTGTCGATGTGTACCTGCAGATAGGCCCGGCGTAGGTCCAGCACTGCAGCATTTGGTCCTTGCTGACGCGTAATTTTTGAGAACAAACATCTGCGTTGGCCGTGTACACGTCAACGTACTTATTGAGTTCCCGATAGTCCATAATGGGCCGAACCTTCTGTTTGTTTTCCTCCAGAATGGCCATAAGGTGGGTTAAACCTTTTGGGGGTCCGAGCTCCTCCTCCGGGTAAGGAAGCAGCCAGCCGTTATCTATCCAAATCTGGAATACCCGATCATACTCCCCCCGAATTTGTGTGGGAGCTGGATATTCTGCCAGTCTATTTCTTAACGTACCTGGAGGTTGGTTGCCAGCCCATTTCCAAGATGCGGTTCACCTCCGAGTGGTCTCATCGTATTCTACTTTAAAGTCAGGCTCGGTAATGGTGATGGAAGCAACGACTGGTTCGACACATTGCTGAAACTTCACCTCACCAGCGCCAGTTACAGATATTCCTCCCAACTGTTTGATGGCATCTAGTCTGAGCAGCAAGTCGAATCCAAGCAGGTCTCTGTCCATGACTAGGGCTTCCATAGCGATGGATGACTTTGCACCAATGCTAACTTGTACCATTCCGATTCCACAGCAGTCAAGTGCGCCTACGTCTACTGTAAGCATGCGTGTTGATTTTCTTGTCCATGCTCGACAGCATGACTTGTGGACTAGTGACTGTGTGCATCCTGTATCCACCAGAGCTATACGTGGTATTCCATTGATACGAACTGTCACTACAGGCAATGTGCCATTTACAAGGGTTTTGGGGAGGAGATTGGTGCTGAGGAGGAGATTGGCGCTGAATTCTTGCCCCCTTGCCCATTTCCTGGACAACAGCAAGCAATGTGCCCTTGCCGATGACATCGATAGCAAGTACCAGCACCTTTGGATGGTTCACGACCCAGGAGACAATCGCTCGCCCTATGATTGGGTCCATCACATTTATAGCATCTCATGTGCACATCTGCTTCCTTCAACTGTGCAGCCACTGCGGCCTGCTCCGTAGAACTAGTGCACTTCTTCAAAATAGCATGAGCTCGTGCCAGCACATGTGACAAATCCAGGTCTTCCATCCGGGATGACGCTCTTAAAAGCTCCTCTGCATGCTCAGGCAATCCAGCAATGAATGCACACTGCAAGCACTTTTCTGATACACCACCAAACAGAACCGCGAGTTTGCGCAGTTCTGCCAAAAAGATGTCGACCGTCTCCCCTGGCTGAAGGCGACGTGCTGCAAACTGCTTCCACGCGGAGAAGGGATCTAAGGTGAAAGCCGTGTATAACGCTTTCTTAACACAATTGAAGTCTGATGACCGACCGCAATGGCTTTTGTCACCCAAGAAAAGACACCAAACGATTCGTGCGTCTTCTTGTAGTCCTCGGTCAAGTCCATTATGGTACTCCAAAGTGTGCCCGGCGACAACACAACACACGCAGTTCGAGGACGCTTCCGCACATGCTCATGTGAGTCATGCAGAAGTTTTAAGAATAATGGAAACAAAAAAGACACTTAGACTTATCAGAAAGAGACAGTTGAAATTTCTAGGACATACAATGAAGAAAGAGGGCTTAGAAAACTTGACACTTACAAGACATACTGAAGGCAAGAGGTAGATGGCTTATTCACTATCTAATAAGATTGTATAAATGTACAGCAGAATAGGGAATAGGAGGGATAGTGAAAAGATAAAACAGACTAAGAACTACAAAGAATAGGAAGTTGTGGAGAGCCCACATCCTGAAGGGGCACAGTATGTAGAACACGAAAAAGATTCTCAAAAATGTACAAGTAATTTTTAAAATTTTAACATTATACTTCCTTGTTGACTTCTGAAATATTGTTATTAAATAAAACCATTTTAATAATCAAAAAAATGTAAAGTTTAGCAAAAAATAACACTGCAGAGATTTTTAGTAAAATATAATTTTAAATTACCTAATTAAAACATTAAGAAATTAACCTAAATTTTGAAGGTTTCTTTTTGACTAATACCTTGTACATGCAGTTACAATAACCACCATACACCACTGATTTTCACTGCAGTGAAGCTTTTGTTGGAAAATGAGGACATTTAAATATAAATGAGATAATCTAGCATAAGAGATAATCTTCTTGAAACCTTTGACAGAAAAATGAATAAAAATTTATTCAAATTATGTATGTACCTGAACAGGATAAATTTTAAATAATTTACAAGCAGTTATATTGATGGATTATATGATTGAGTGCTAAAAGTTATTGGCTAGACAAAGAAGGTATTCCAGAAAAAAAAAAATTGGTGTTTGGTCATTTGCTGAGATTTTTAAAGGGAGTCAGCCTGAGAACTTTACAGCACTCTTTCATATATATTTACTCAAAATGATTTAACACATTAACAGCTACCTAATTCCAGAAAAAAAAATGCAAAAAGTGCAAAAAGTAACTGTAAAATGTAAGCTCCTCAGCTATAATAAAACTAAAGCTAATAATTATGATCAAATATGCGTTATATCCTCTAAAACAGAAACCAATAAAAAGGTAAAAACACAAGATTACTATTATAGGATAGAGAAAAGTGCTTAGTATTTTATTATATCAATACAAACTAATTTTTGTTCAAAATTGTTTATCCCTTTTTCTCTTAATCTTACAAAGATTAAGAGAAAAAGGGATAAACAATTTTGTTTTTGTATTAAAAAAATTAGTGACATTGGTGTTTTTGAAAATAACACTGAACATGTGATTTTGAAACTTAAGCAAATTCAACCATCTTCCACAAAACGCAGAAAACTTACCAACACCAATAGTGATTTCAGTGGATCGTTTTGGTATTAAATGGATTTTATCATGAAACCCATTTTTCTGGATCACTTTTCTTGCACACTCAGCCATAGGTGTAAATGCCTATGAAGAAATCAAAACAATTACTTCAAGAAAATAAAAATATGTTGTTACACAATATCTTGTATCTCCAACAGATCAAGAGAATATGAACAGCTAGTTCTAGAACCAAACAGTTTATAAATGTTGTTTGTTTATATTATATTCATTTATATACCATAAAATGATATTAGATGTTTGAATAAGGGTCATGTGTTACCCAATACTAAGGTTAAGTGAAGTATCACTCAATTTGATATTTCTACAAAGTGTCAACATGAATGTTAGCTAGAGTTTAATTCACTACAGAACAGATTTTAATCTAAAAATTTCAACAGCTATAGGCCAATTGGAATTTATTTTCACATCACAGGAGTTTTGGAAACATATGAACTAAATGTAATATACTTACCTCACAGGCAGTAATAGAATCTGCTCCAATTGTAGCAGCCATCATAGAAAGGAGTCCAGTTCCTGTACCAATATCTAACACATTAACTGGTTCATTCTGGTCCCGTTTCTTTTTTATAGCTTTTTTCAGTGCTGCATAATATTTCTGGTTCTATAAAAAAGGAAAATGCAAATTCATTTGTTTATTTTAAGTTTCCTGGTTACATTTTTCTTTTCTTTTGGTTCTTTAAATATAAATATGAAAGATGTATTTGGTATAAGGCCAGAGCAAAAGTTAATATAGAACTGATGAACACCCACCAAAAATCATTGCCATCACTCTGAATTTTAAGACAACATATTAATACGATTCAAGGATTCAAGCTAACATCAATATATTTGTTTTTAATCCCCATCTAGTAGATACTGACACTAGTCTGCTTCTGTCTCTAAATTTCTAAGTTCAATTACAATATTAAGATGGGAAAAAGTGACAATTGCAAGTTCAAATCCTTAGATGATCTTACTTATTATAAAACGCAGATTGTGTGTGTGTGTCTGTACGTTTATATATTGGATTGGATTTCCTACATTTTTCAACCGATTTCAACAAAACTTCACAGGACTGTGTAAAAGTACCTTGCGGTGGTTCTGACAGTGCCAAAAATTGGAAAAACACAATTGTTTTTGCACAAAATCAATTTGAAAACATGATAAAACATGATTCTGTCGCCAGAATGAAAGGGGGACAACTCATATCGAGTTATACTTATTATAAAACCCAGGTTGTTTGTGTGTGTGTGTGTGTGTCTGTGTTCATTTATATATGGGATCGGATTTCCTACATTTTTCAACCAATTTCAACAAAACTTCACTTTTTTTTGGCAAGTAGTGTACTTTTTTCTTTATTTTTACATTCAGAATGCTTTAAAAATTCCATTTACAAGACAATTGTTTATAATAAAATTCTATTCAATCGATAGACTCATAACGATTGAAAACAATGTTTTTGTTTGAGTTTGACCAATTCGTAAAAAAAAAAAAAACCTAATTAAGACATGCATGTCTGTCAACCTTAAACAATAATCTTTGTCAATTTTATTTTTTTTTTCTTTATGATGGTCGATACTTGATCTATCTCTTACTGTTACATCCCCTGGCAACGCCGGGCTCTACTGCTAGTATATTATAAAAAGAAAGAGATCCAAATAACTTATGCCCTTGAATTAAATAAAGGTTCTTTTGAAAGTCTTAAGATTACTAAATATGATATACACCTAAAGAAGGCCTGAAAGTACACAAACTGAAACATCAGGATAAAAACAAAGATAAGGACAATGGTCTGAATGAATTATCAAAAATTACCACTTTCTTGTTTTGATGTGTGGAAAGTTTGAGTAGTTGTAAAAGATTATACAAAAAAACAGTTTGGATTCTAAAATAAAAATCTTATTTTTATAAATGTTGAATGAATCAATTACTTTGATATAATTCATGTCATTGATGTTAACTTTTTAACAGTCTATTGAATAGATAATATCCAAATAAAATATTAAATCAGTTATATGATATTCTATGGTAAATGGGTACAATGCTGATTTATATTATACAGTGTAACCCGGATACAAGAGAGGGACCGGAGAAGAAGTCTCTTATATCCGGGTTTGGTCTATTTTGTTTAGGTAACACAGGCTCTAATTTGGGTCCAGAGAAAATCTTTCTTATATCCGGGTTACACTGTATACAGAAATAAGAAATAAGCACATTTAACAGCTCATTTATTGATTTGTCTTATACTTATCCTTCTACTATGACTACTATTATGGTTTGCATTTTTAAGATCATAAGTAGCTATTTTAACATGTATTACATTTTAAAAATTATGAAGGAACAAGTAAAACAAAAACAATAGTTTTTTCTTTTATTCATTATGAATTTCTAAACAAAACAAGAGTATGCTAGGATTTCTGTTGCTTACAGAAAACAAAACCGGTCACTTAGTTACTCAAATTAGCAAACACACAATGCTATCACCCTAAGCTGTAATCAATTAGAAAATACAGTCAGAAAATGAAGAAAACTTGAAAAATATATATAAAAAAAAAAAAAAAAAAAATGTACTTACTCTTTCAGTATCATGCAACATATCTGCATAAGCTGACCTGAAGAGGAGAAAAAGTACAATAAAAACAACAATAAGAACACAAATTTAGCAAATAAAGGTATACCATGAAATTATCTAACTGATAGTCTAGTACCTATTTTAATTCAACCCATGACTGATTTCATTGTCTCACTGCTCACTACCACTTTTTGATGTTCCTACGGCCTCTTATTTTAGGTGACTGTTTGTTTCACCTTTATATTCATTATCACAACTGCATAGAATGGAGTACACACAGTCCTTGGTCATGTTCTCCCCTGTATTAGGCTTTACTCGGAAGAGATTTCTCTGTAGAGTGGAGCTGCTTCTGAATATTGTTCTGAATTTTACTGATAAGCTCTTGACATAAGGCAGAAAGACACTATGGTAATTTTCTGGTTCATCTCCTTCATTCTGAAGATACTGATGTCATGTTTGCAGGATAGTTATTATTCCACAGAGAATTGTCCCAAGAGACAATGGTTTAGTAGATTAAAACATTGGTTTGTGACTTTGGTGACGATAATTGTGAATTCAATCTCTGGGCCAGGCAGTGTGTACTTGAACTCAGTGGAAACAGGACAAGCAATAAATGAGCAGTACAAAAATAAGAACTAAAGATACCCCTAGTAGAATGAGAACAATCTACCTCTGTAAATTAAATCAGTTGGAAATTCCCTATGTTCCCTTGGCTACCATACAGACATACACCTGATGAAGGTTGGAGAGTGCAACTGCTAAAACATAATAACAAATAGTTAAGACAATAGTTCACATGTAAATAAACATATGTCAGTGTCACTGAAGTGTAACAATCAGCTTTGTCCTAAGCGAAAGTTAAATAGTTGAGCCATGATTAGTTAACAAATATGAGTCGGAAGTGTGTTGCTAAATTAGTATTTACTTCAATTGATTTGAGAGAGAGAGAAAAAAAAAATCCCAAGTATGCCTGAATTTCATGTGCGCTTTTATAGGTACCTCTAATAATAATAATAATAGTAGTAGTAAGAAGAAGAAGAGCATAGCATGATAAAAAAAAAATGCCCCATAACTTAAAAATGAAGTTTTATCCTTAAAATGTTTCTTATTATTAAGAGGAAAGACCAAAGTATTTTTTAATTATTTAAATTTTTTCTGATTACTCCTTGCTAACACATTAAAAATCTTGTTTTGTTTTTTTTTTTTAATGTATCAACAGTAACAGAACTGGTTATGGAAATTTTTGCACCTGATTTCTCATAAAATACATTAATTTGGAAAAGTCTTTCAAAAATCAAATAATTGTTGGATTTTAGTGAAAGTTTCAGAATTTATTCACAAATGAAAAAAAATTATTTTTGAAATTATTATTTTTAAAAAATCTGGGTAAAATTTTTTTACATCTGTTAGCTCCCATTTATTTAATTTCATGAAATTTCTAGAAATTATATTCTGTACTCTAAATTCTTTTTATTAGTTAAAAGCAGGACTCTTTGGAGGATGTAAATTATCAATTTTTTTTTCAAACTACTGATACCTTCCCTAAAATCTGCTCCAAATTGTAAAATAAAAAACGCAATAAGACTAATTATTTAATTAGATAAGCTTTTAACTGCTTTTATAAATAATATTAAGGACATTATAGTCTGAAGAAAAATTTTTTTTGATGAATAATGAATTTTTACAAGAATTGTTTTCACAATTTTTTTTTAAATAACAATTTATAAAGTTTCAAATAAATAAATAAATAAAAATGTTTAAAAAATTTTTCCAAACTTTGTCCTCATTAGTTTATTAAGTTATTAAGTGTAGACTATATTTACTGAGCAAAAACTGAAAAACTTAATACAAAACAAATGCTGTTATATTTTTTAAATAATTTTAAATTTTTTGTGTATAAACATGCCAATTTTGAAAGTAGGGATAGCCATACACAACATTAGAAAATAAGATCTATCAACATTCCTAAAATTAGATTATGAAGAATATTTCCAAAATTTTTCAGATTACTAAGTACTTATGAATATATAAAAAAGCGTTCACCTGTCATTTTCTTAAATTATGTTTAACAGATAAGGTCTCTGTAGAACAATAATAAGTGTCAACACCTCGTAAATCAATCATGTGATTTACAAGGACTTAATTGTCACTACTGCTTGCATTAAAAGTCCATTTTTCTGTTATCTTCAACTTAAAGTAAACATTTATTTCAAATCATTAATTATACTTTAAATTAGGTACCTCCACATTTTTGTGGGAAAACAGCACAGCATAATAAAAAAAATGCCACAAATTTAATAAAAGCAAAGTTTTATCATCAAAATGTTTGTTATTATTAAGATGAAAAACCAAAGTATTTTTTGAATATTTTTTAAAATTTTTTTAATCCTTTCTGGCAGCTTTGAAATTTTGATTCAAAATCTTATTTTGTTTGCATCATCGAACCCGGATAATAATTACAAAATACTTTTGCAGCAGCTTTTTTTCCAGTGAAAACATTAATTTGGAAATTCTTACCAAAAACAAATAATTGTCAGATTTTAATGAAAATTTCAGGACTTATTCACAAATGATCAATGTGTTAATTTAGTTGCTTACATATCTTTATTTTAATTTCATCTGTTATTAAATAAAATTAATTTAAGAAAATTTTATAGTACTTTAAATTTTTAAAATTTTTTTCATAAAGCATCTTCAAGCGTAACTAAAAGTCAATAAAATATTAGATAATTGCTGAAAATATGTTAATTTGTAAAAAATTACTAGGTAGTTAAAAATGAAAAAAATGCGTTTACTTAGTTTTCATAAATTTATGTCAATTCTGGTCATCCCCTCAGAACTTACCTAAACGTTAATGAAGATCAAAGAAAATCAGGACCCGTTGTTAACAAATGCTTGTATATTACTTTTTTTATGCTATAAGTAATATTTATTCCAAATCAGATTCATTTTTAACTCTAAATTTGCTAATTTTACTCAAATAACGTGTCACAAATATATATTTTATTTTTGGAAGATTTTTGAAATCGATATATTAGTTTTGTTTAGAAATTTCTTTAAATTAATTTTCTTAAATTGCCCCAAAAAGATTCCGATCTATATAATTTTTATTTGAAATACACCAAACTATTTTATTTACTGGAAATAGTAAATTTAATTAACCATTTAGCTTTCAATTAAAAGCTAAAATGAAATCTTCAAGAATGCTTTTTAATTTTTTAAAATTCATTTTAAATCTTAGGTATCGAAAATTTATGCCGAATTAGTGAAAGTACCTACTTTAAATCAGCTATTCCTAAAATAAAGTTTCAGAAAAGTAAGTATGCCATACTGTCACTTATCCTCATAGATTCCAAGGCATTCTTCCTCACGTAGTTTTACTTATCTTTCTTTCATTCTAACCAGAGGAAGCCAAAGATAGCAGTACCAATCTTGGCGAAAAGCGTCGTTAATAAATTTCCACTTTGTCTCATCTTCACATATGAAATATTCCATTCTACCAGAAAGTTTACTCTAAATAAAAAGAAAAAAGAAAAGACATGCCACATATTAAGTCTAAGGGAGGTAAATTCGTCATATTCTGGTACCCTTCATTGTTCCGTGAACATAAAGAACCGCTAAAGAAATTATCCTTTAAAAAGTTTTGTTTTAAAATGAATAACCAATTTAGCATTAAAAAAAAAACCTTGAAACTAAATGTGTGTGGTACTTTTAAATAAAATAAAAATGTTTGTTATTTTACTACTGTGTAAAAAAGAAATGTTCGATTGTAGTTTGAAGACAAAAAAAGGGGGATTTTTTTCTATTCTCAAAATGCTGAATATTTCCTTTTAAAACCTAATTATGTGTCACGAGTTTTACTTGAAGTGGCTTCTTACTTCATGAGACAATTTTAAAACTCAAGGTCATAAACAGGTACGTACTAAAAACAAACAAATTTTAATTGTGCTTCTTACTCTTTAACATGTTTTCAACAGAAAACAACCGGAGAGAACGAATAGGAAAGGAAAAAAGAGAATTTAAAAGGAAAATGATTGTATATTTAATTTTTATTTTAACGAATGCTATTGATAGTATTTAGTTATTTTTGTCGAGCTAAACAAAAAAAAAAAAAAAAGTGTTTCTCAGTCTGTATTTTTCATTTTCTGTAAAAACAAAAATACACAAACAACAATGAAAAAAAATCAACTAAGCACAATTTTTTAAAATGATTATAAAAGCGCTAACAAAAACAAACTTATTTTTCTGTAGTTAATCAACAAAAATACAAGAAACCTAATTTATTTATATTCGGATTTTCATTTTCTTATACAGGCGTTTTTTTTTTTTGTTTGTTTGTTTTTTTAAGTGCTTCCACATAGTTTAAAAAAATTAAAGTCGAACAAAAATACAACAAGAAATTTTATTTTTTTAATTCCTCATTATTTTCCATAAATGATCAGTCATGAAAAATGAATGAATGCAGAAATCGTGCCAGTAGTAACTCACTCAGAAACGAAAATAGATTCTAAAAAATTAAAATCATTTTTCCCATTAATTCATTCACGAACACTAAAAGTCACTATTTGACTAAAAAAAGAAGCAACACAAATGAATAACAATTGTTTTTAACAGGTTCTTCCCTTCATCCTCAAAAGAAAATAACAGATTCACGTAGTCGTGATGTCTTTTACTAAACTTAAAATGAACAAAAGAAACAATTAAATAATAACAAAAAATTTGAAAGATAACATTACGATACATTTTTTACATGAATGTTAATGCTATAGCGCAAAAAAGACGACTTTAAAAAGAAACATAGTTTAGTTGTAAGCAGCTGAAGGAAATTCATCATACCTTGCAATTTCTTGATGATAATCATAATTTTCATCCTGGATCACCCATTCATTCTTGCCCAATAAAGGGTTAAACTGAGAGACAAATGTACTCATTATTCTATACTTTTTAAAAGCTGTTGTCCGAAAGACAACCGATTTGTACATACGGCAGAGCCACTACACGTGCAGAGGAATAAAAATAAGGGGTGTAACTCTGGGGGGAAACACACACACCCCATACAGAGGTATATAAAATTTTTAAAAAAGTGAGGAAAATAGCTATTTTATTATTTTTCATTAATTATTCTTTTCTTTCCGTATCCCTAACAATATTTGCTGAGTTACTTTACTCTCCACTTTCGAGAATCACCCAAACGATCAATAACAAAACTTTCTAGATCATAAAATGTTTAAAAATAATTAAAATTTACCAGAACACTTAAATTGTCAATCGACATTCAATCAAAAATTGAATACTGGCTTAAATTTAATTAGCTTGCTTTTTATACTAATTTCTTCGTTGTTGTTGTTTTTTTTAATGTTCCAGTCATTTACGGTTACCCTAGCCTCGACAAAATCCTATTCATTATTAAACGTGATATGATCTGTCTCCGCACAATTACAAGAGCAAATTTGAGACAGCATAGCGTACATGGGAGTAGCTCAGTAGAGAGGCAAATATTGATCATCAGTTTTGAAACGATCCCGGGATCAAAGATTGACCCTTTACTGCTCAAATTAAATTGGAGAGGTGCTGCCTGATGGGTGGAGTGAATGAACATTTACAGTGTTACACAGAATCATTTCTTATAAAATTAAATTAATTTAATTTTATAAGATTTAAATAAGTAAAGTTACAATTCATAACCTTTTTTCATCTTAATTTTAAAAGTTTACCTAACATTAAAACTGAGTCTTTACTCTTTAATATTGCATAAAGACTCAATTTTTTAAACATTCAGAAATTAAATAATTTTCTTTTTCGATAAATAAAAATATTCAACATTTATTTTGTGTACGTTCAGAGAAAATTTACTCATGTGCAACAAGTGCGATAGAAAATGCATTCACCTCACTCTTTCTTTACACTTTATTTATTTATTTATTTTTTTTTTTTTTAACTCTGGTGATTATTTTTTAACCAAAGGCCCTATATCTTTGCTAGCAATCTTATTCTGAACTTTTGATTTTTGACACTTTAACTAATTACTTACACTTACAGCCTTAACATATTTTCATCTACAAAAAAATGTATTTTAATTTTTTTTTTAATTATCAGTTTTCATATTTCTTTATTTGCGAATTTTTAAAACTCGCAATTAATTATAGGGTGATGAAAAGTTATTGGCACGACCAAACTGTTCCTATTAAAAAAATAACGTTTTTTTAGAAGTGGGTCGGACCAACACCACAGAGATAGTGTTGTTCCGGACCACGAAATTTTTTAGCAAACTCTCGTACGTGTTAATGACGTGGGTGGGAACATCATTTTCAAACTATTTAAAAAAAAAAAAAAAAAAAACTTGCATAAAGTATTACTAAACTAATCACTTTTTCTACTACGTTTATTTCGTTAAATTTATGAGTAGAGTTCTGACACAAGAGTAGGCAAAAGTTAGAAGTGGTGATAAAATCTAAACATTTATCTTCAGACTATGTACTTTTTAAGTTACCCTAAGCAACAAGGGAAATAATTCTGAAATAATTGTACCCAATCCAATGATTTCAGTTTGAATAACGCAAAAGCAGTTATGGACACAAACATAATACTTTTTAAAAGTAAAAAAAACTTTCTTTCGGTGTTAATGAATACACCGCAATAATTTTTTTAACTAAATGTTCACCCAATACATGGCTAGGAGCCACTCAATGTAGAGGATTACTAAAAAAAATTGTTGCGTGGACGTAGGATTGGATTGGTTTTTATTTTGTTTTTTGTCATATCAACCTGTTATTTATTTAATAATGCCGACAACATTTTTAGGATAGATTCATATGAATAGAATATGTATTCTTTGGTTTAGATAGGTTTGGTTTATTTTGTTTTACAACATATCACCCTCAATGAGTTATTTAAATACCAATAACATTTTTTATTGCTGGTAATATTTTGTTTTGTCAAAACTGTTTCTAGTAATATTTTTCCTTCAAAATTTTATTGCTGGTAATAATTTTTTTCAAAAAAGTATTGCTGGTAATAGTTAACTATTTGCCCATAGCTGGGACCCTAACTGGTGCTACCACCCCGGGTCAGGGTGGACCTGGGAACACCAGCAATTAAGAAGTGGTTGCGTGGACGTAGGAAGAGGAAGTAAGTGCACATTATGAGGATACGTAGGTAATAGTTGAAGAGGTTTAAAAATAAAAATAAAGTTGTAGTGTTCGGGGAAGCATCCTCTCATCGTATGTTCCATAAAAAGTAGCCGCCCTTGGGAAGAAGCTGTCCGGATGAAACTTCCGTAATAAAAAAGAAATGACGATAGTTCGCCCCTGTTTGTTATATGACGAGTTTTCGTTGGAAATTATTCTTATTTGGTGGAACTAAGAAATGTCGCTCGTCAGAACATTTTCAGTAGAAATAGCGATAGGTTTGCAACGTTTCGTTTGAGGGAGAAGGGTTGTAGGGTAGAAAAATAACTGATCGCCTACAACAATATTGTGATTAGCAGTCATTTGTAGATAATTCTACTTGTGTTGGAACATTTTTATTTTAATTAAAATACCCTTTTTAAAATTATAACTTCTAGTTTTAAAATAACGCCAACATATTCCTGGAAAGTAAAGTATTATTTTGTAATGAACAGTTTTTTGTGCATGAATGTTTCCTTCACCTTCCTATGATTGAAATATCTTTTCAAGTTTTTTTTATGAGCAACCCCCAAAACAAGATCTACTTTTATCTTGCTATTGTAGAAATTCAAGCATTTTTTTAAAAATCTATATCATTCTTTTGAAGCATACATTTGCTGCAACCGAAACCCCACCATCCTAACCTGCACTGTTGTTTTTACAATTCATTGAGGCGTCTGCCGTCGACAGATACAGCAGCATGGTATTCGTTGGATCTCTCACAGCCCCACTCGTGACCGTGTTGCCAAGCTGAAAAATACACACTAATAGTGACTACTAATAGTATTGTATTTATTTATTTTAAGAGAATTGAGGCTAAATTTTAAAGTTTATGCTTTTTTGCAGGAGCGGATCTGATTTATGTTTTATTGTATTAAAAATACAATTATAGTACAGGAGCGGATCTGATTTCACGAACGATAGAAACCCAACAAAATAAATAAATAAATTTTGATACCCGGAAGTATATTATCGTAAGCGCATGCGCAACTGTTTTCCAATGTACCATGTGAAGAACACAACGTGTTTTTGACGGCAGTTTTATTTCACACTAGGACCAAAAATGAGCTACTGTAGAGAAGAAGGTAAAATTGTTTTCACGCTCTCTTAACGAAATATTTTTTAAAAACATGTTTCTAGATGGAAATAGGTTTTAGTTATATTATTTTATTATGTATATGTTATATGTGACCTTGCAAATACTGATAGAACCTAAAACGTTTATGCCGGTGTCAGTCCTTTTTTTATGACCTTTTAGTTGAATGGAGGTTATCTGAGTTTTCTGTTATTAGTCTTGGATGTTATTGTTGATTAAACTAAATACATTAATGTTAATAATGCTATTTTATGATGCCCTTTTAGGTGCTTTTTTTTTACGTTTTGCACAATTTTTTTTCTCTTTTTGTTTCAGTCACTCCTATCTTCTTTCAGTCAGTACCACGTCTTTTCAAGATGTGAGCGATCGTGGCTCTCCAGTTTTCTGTTTTGTTGGTCAGTGGGGGTTATACGTCATTTTACCTCTTTACCACCCTCTTTGTTTTTGTAGCCCTTAAGTTATTCTGTCATCCATAGTGTTTGTGAAATTCGTTATTCGTTGTTTCTCCCACTTCTCTTGCCTTAACCCTATGGATTTTGAATTCTCCAAGCCTTTTCCTTCGTGTGTTCCAAAAAATGTTAGCTGTCTTTCTGTTTGCCTTTAAATAAAACTTCCTCCTTTCTTTCATGTCTATGGTTATGATACAATTCAATAGACCTGCATGAACATTCCCTCCTATATGGAATACAATATTGTAGTCACAGTGCTAGATTTCCATACAATGGAAGTCTAGCATTCTTTTTCGTTGTTGTTTCTAAGGATATTTTACGATCCTTTTGTGTTCAGTTTAGGAAATGCCTCGTTTTTACCTATTCTGATTCATTTTCGGATTTTTTTGTACTTACACTGTCAATTTTACACTCTCCGTCATTTGTTAGTTACACAGAGAAAAAAAAACATTTTCCTTGATTTTGAGGTCCCAATTTACTAGCAAAAATGGGTTAGAACTTGGATTCTTTTCTATTTTAAAGCGACAATTAAAGCCTTTTATTTTGTAAATAGTAAGTGTACTGTAAGTATATTCGTTAGTTTTGCGATTATTTCTGTGGTTGTCCACTAATTGTTACTGATTTGGATTTTATTCTAATGAACATCAAAATTGAAAGGAAAATATTTTATTTCTGTTTGATTATTCATGTTCCAAGAAATTCTTTTATTTTTAATTAAGTTAACAAATAATTTTTTTTTTTTTTTCAAAACATTCTCCACATTTTAGCATTCAACTGTTACTGTTATATGTTACTAAATCACCTGTATAAAACTTATAGGCTGTGGTGTCTGACATTTTCAGTTTACTTAAGACAAGTTGCCCATTGTCAAACAACCCTTTTTTCTGGAATGCTCCATTATCACAGTTCACTTCTCTTTATTATCGTTTTGACAAACAAGTTAACTTTTGAGATTCATGAATTGAAAGAAGAAAAAATGTTAAAAAACAAAAATAAGAATAATTTTTTTTAATTAATAGTTCTTTTTTATTATTATTCATTTTTTAAATTGCTGAGACCACTTCATTTCTAAAGTCAATTCTCTTGGATTTGTACCAAACCAAACTTGACATGCAAGAACATTTATTCAAGAAAATAAACTTTTAAAACTTGTAATTAAAAATTACAGATGTGTCTTCTAAAAAATTAATACTAAAACAGGCTCAATTTGTATTGAGGTC